CAGCACCTCGCGCCCGAGCGAGCCCAGCGCTGAGCCCGTGCGTGGTTTTACCACAGAGGCGGCACTAAAGTCGGGGAGGGGAGGAAGCCGGGGTGCCCAGCACAGCCGTTATCGGCGGCCCGGCACACCCAGCTCGCGGCCTTTGTGGCGTGGCCAAAAAGTCGAATGAAAAAAATCCCCTGAAGTTAACTGAAATGAAAAGCTCGAAGACGGACCTTGCCCAGATGCTTTTGGCAGGAGGTGCCGCTGTTTGCTGTCACGACGAGTTGTGCGTCTCTGAGCGTTGCAGGAGATGAGCAGCGCTCCAGGGCTGGTTCTGGAATTCTCAGCACTGACCTAGGAAGATGGAATTTGCAGTTCGGTGTGGCTGCAGCTTTCCCACAGCAGCAGAACCACGAAGCCTGCCCAGTGCTGATGGGGAACAGGGGATCTGTGCGCACCAGGAAATGCCATGAACTAGAGACAGACGCCCTTTGTGCTTGTTCTTTGGATTCAATCTTGGCTCAGTTTGGGGTCATAAGTGGAGCTGGTCAAAACTCAAGCTCTGCTTCAGAAGGCTGCTGGCCTTACGAAGGCAGAGTGCCCGGAATGAGCGTCAAAAGCAGATGTGTCGAAACTTTCCTGCCGAGCACAATTTCTGCAAGTTGTATTCAGGAGAAATAATGCAGCTTCAGAAGCAGCTTTGCAGCAGAGCAGATTTTTGCGCTTTCAGGGAAAAGAGACAGACGTGACCCAGCGAAACGCAGCACCCTCCCACTGCGGAGTCCTCCGCCACCGAGCTCGGCCGCTGCCAGACCGAGCGCCCGCTCTGTGGCCGGCAGGGCCCTCACCCCACTCTCCTCGCCCGGGCTGAGCCTCTGGGTGCCAGACTTGGCCTCCCAGTGCTTGTCTGGACAGCAGCTGAGCTTCCCGTGCTGCGGGGCACGATGTCACTGCTGCAGAGAATAGGGGAAAAAAGAACGATGATGGGAGGGTGCAGAGGTATTAAAAGGTAGAAAAAGGTGTCAAATGACCCGCAAAGCAGTGTTTTTTGGCCTCCCTGATTTGCAGCAATGAGGAAGAGGTATAACAAGCATCTGAAATCATACACAGACAAAGGATGTTCGTGTTGGTGCAGGGCCAGGAACGTGCCTGCTCGGGACATCAGAGTGACCTGATGAGCTGCTGGAGTTCACGGAGGAGCTGTGAGTTTGGGTTCAAAGGATTTAGGGAAAGCTGGAGGTCGTTTAGCTTTGCAAATGTGAGTTGAGGGAAAGACAGAGCCCAGCAGAGAGCAAAAGACAATTGCGGAGGGCGATTCTTCCTCAAATGGTCAAATCCTTTGGGCCATCTGGTGCCATCCCAGGGACACTGTTCGGTTCATGCGCTGGGACATCCCAGCCCCATTTTCCCTCCTGTTAGATTTAGGCAGGTAATACTCCACATTCAGGAGCCCATCCATCTTTCTATGCTCTGCTGTGTAGTTTCAGCCTTCCCCAGCACAGCTCCATCACTGTGAGTGTTGCCGTCATCACTGAAACATCTCAGAGCCCTCAGTTATTATCACCTCAATTAAACATCTTGATAGCTCTGCCCTGGCGAGGGCGTTAAGGGCTGGGGAGGTCGCTCCATCCATGTGCTTTACTCACAGAATCTAAGATGCCCAGTGGGTTTCATTTGGTGGTCAGTCGTATTTCCTCTTTCCAAGCCAACTCTCAAGGAAATCTTGCTGCTTTCTGACCCCATAAAAGCTGTGAACCTGATTTTTTTTCCTTCTTACAGTGTTGTTGGTGCAAAGCTCAGCTACCCCTGCCAAGGCTCAGAGCACTTCAGCTTCTCCCTCTTGCTCTCTGCAGGGTAAAATGCACAATAATTACCTTCATAATACTGATTTAAGACTACTTTGTAAGATTTATCTAATAATTTAAGCAATACTTGGAGTGTTTCTGCTCTCTGCTTGCTCTTAGCCTCTGTATTTCCCCCCTCCTAGTGAGCTGTCCTGATTTTCTCTCTCCAGCTTGGTGCCCCAGCTGAACACTCTCTACTTGCTGACTGTCGCCGGTGTTTTTTTCTGGGCAGCATCGCAGGATGTGGTTGCTCTGCTGCATCCACCTGCCCCTGTGGTGCTGCTGTACCGGCAGCTGCCAGCGCTGGGGAGTGAGGTTGGACACACGTTATTGTAATAACAGGACTGAGGTCACTGGCAACGCGGTTCTGTCCACGGATGTCAGAGGGTTTTACAAAGGAGATAAGTTCTGTTCTCTAGGGAAACTGAGGCAGGGGAAGGGTGAGGACTTTGGATACAAGCAGGCCTGTGAAGACAGAAGGTGGGGAGCTTTCTACGGTTCCCCAGTGTTTAAGCTGATTTCTCTTAATTTTCCATCATTTTTTCAGTAACTTCTAAGGCCAAAACCCTGCTCTGAGGTGGATTGAGATTTTCATTTTATGTTTAAAGGGAATTAAATGGCACAAACCCAGTGTGGACTGGGGGCAGGTAGCATGGGCTGGGAGCTGGGTCTGCTTTGCCTGGGGGGTTACTGCAATGAGCTGAGCAGGGCCTCGACTGGTGCTGGGATGAGAGGAAGGACAAGGGGGTGTAAAACCATCCAGCAGCTCCTGGTGTCTGGCTCTGAGGAGTTCCCAGGCAACTCGAGGCAAACGGTGATGGTTTTAAGGAGATTTAGCAGTCAGTAATAGTAATAAAAAGTTTCAGTTAGCTTTATGCCAATTGCTAGAACATCTTTGCTTAGTCAGTGCCCTCTAAATGCTTTTGTTTGTTTGTTTTTCCTGGGGGAAAAATCATTTGGGGCTCCACCCTCTCCTAATGAAGACATCTAACTGGGAAGCACCTGTTTCTCCTGCCGCCTTGGCAGCCAGCTGTGTCGTAAACACCCGGCATTGGCTCCTCGTGTGCGGGTGTGAGGAAGAAGAGAGCTGTGCCTTCAGCTCAGTGGTGCTCTGGAGAGGTTATAAGCCCTCTCCTTGCTTAGCTGCTCATGTGCACTGAGGATGGATGCCTTGGGGAGTATGGGGGACTGCTGAGGTGCGGTGTCAGGGTTGGGAGGGAAGAGCTCCCAGCGGATGGAGGGCTTGGCCTGGGCCTGGTTTAGACCCCTGTGGGCTTTGGCATTTGAGATCCTGGTAGGTAACTTGCTCTGTCAATTTATTGGAGATGCAAGACTAAAGCTAGAAGAAAAGCCACTGGCAAAATACATGGTCGTTAGAAGTAAATCACTACTTCCCCTTTTCCTTCAAATAGGGTTGATGTACTTCGTTAGCAGTTCAGCGAGTTGGGTCCTGGATGACTGGGAAGGGAATTGATGCTGGTCCCACGTGTTTAAGGTTGGGTTTGCATCCCTTGAACAAGATCGCAGAGGAGCTTTGTGTCTTAGGGCCAGACACGTTGATGGATCAGCCCGCTCCATACCCGACAGTGGGCTCTGGCCCCCAGACCCCTCAGTTATGATGGTATTTATGGTAACAGATGAGCCAGACTGTTAGAAAGCCAGAAGAAAAAGGCAAGTTGAGGATCAGTTTCAAAACAGATAATGCAAGTACATAAGCAAACTGCCTTCAAACAGCAGCACCCCTTGAAATCGGTCCTTTGGGGCAAATAATCAGTGAAATCCATGCAATGTGTAGGGAAACTCCAAGCTAGGCGATTTTAGGCGAGTTCGGCTCATGCCAGGAGTATATGTGTAATCTAAAAAACTGACAAAACTAGGTTGATCTGGGGTGGGAGCTGCTGAGACAACTGGGCCAGATAAAGCTCTAATGAAAACGCTCTTAGGCAGAAGGTACTCCCTCTCTCACTTCATTTTAATCCTTGAATCTATAGGAGTGGGAAGACCGGGGAACTACACCCAGGCATCTTGTTTTAACTGCATAATGGGAGAGATGAAGGGGATTTTAGCCCTCCCAGCTCCTAGTGTTCCCTAGCAGAAATAGAAAAACTCCTGAGCGTGGAAGAGACCTCTTTGCCTTTTGTATCCCCATGTAATAGGCCCCGAGGGAATGGCCTCAAGCTGCCCAGGGCAGGGTCAGGCTGGCTCTGAGGAAGGATTTCTGTGCAGAAGGGGCTGTTGGGCGTTGGAATGGGCTGCCCAGGGCAGGGGGGAGTCCCCGGGATCCCTGGGGGGGTTGAAGAGTCGGGCTGACCCAGCGCTGAGGGATCTGGGGAGTTGGGAAGGGTCAGAGGGAGGTTCATGGTTGGGCTGGAGGAGCTTCAGGGGCTTTTCCAACCCGGATGATTCTGGAATTCTGTAATGGAAAATGGGCATGCAGTCTGGGGTTGCTGGGTGCCCACCGGCTCTGGCTTGGCTGTTGCTGTGTGTTGGCAGAAAGGGATGTGTGTTGCTTTGTTTTCAGCCTTGCCATTTATCTACAGCTTTTTACATGTTGCTCCTGGCTGACTTGGGCATGGACACCACCTTCACGTGGGAGCTCCTTGTGCTCTTGCTGCTAACACCGTCACCGCAGCTCACCGCCGTGCCACAGGCCCCCACGCTGCTCCTCCAGCACGAGTTTCTGTTGGCTGATGCATGGGCACTTGCAAAGCCAGGCTCTGGGCTGTAGGTGAGAAAGGCAAGAAGCTGCAAAAGGCAGAGCAAAGCTGAGGTTTGGTTTCAGGAATTCCCTGGAAAAAAGGCAGACGATGCCTCAGCTTGGTAGAAGGTGAATACCTCAACTTACAGATGTCGGTGGCAAAGCGTTCTTCTGCACAGAGCCTTTAGAGAATGGGAGGAGCTTGCACTTTCTCAATCTACCTTCAAATGCAAAGCCCTTTAGCCTCAAATGTGAGCCTGACCTTCTCCAGCCGGTCTCACGCTGTTCGGAGGCACCAGGCCTGGCTGTTTGGGTGGGTTTGCACCAGTGGAGCTCTGTTAGGACTGGTGGCAAGAACTGATCTGCATCAGGACTGTGTGGTTGGTTTGCAGCCTGGCAGCTCTGACATAGCACTGTCCAGTCGTTTTCCCTTCCAACAAATGCACCTAAAGTAGCTTGTTTATCACCCACCTACTCTCCTCACCCTCCAGACTCTTCCTGTAGGTGACGATCTTGCCGTCCAGGGCCAGCTTGATGTTCATGAGCTCCTGGTACTCACGGAGCTGCCGGGACAGGTCCGCCTTGGTCTGCTGCAGGGCTGTCTCCAGCTCGGACAGTTTGTGCTTCGCATCCTTGGCGGTCGTTTCCCGACCCTGCTCAGTGTCAGCCACGGCAGCTTCCAGCCTGCAGCGCTGCAAGGAACGTGACACGGTCAGTCCTGGCTGTCTCTTGCTGTCTTCAAATGCGATGAATTATCAAGAGATGGGTTTAAAGTCTGGTTGCTCATTCAGCCCAGCAGTAAGATGGACACGCAGTCCCCTCCAGCAGGGGTTTGAGAGAGCTGAATATGCAGTTTCAGTGCTCCCTTGTGTTGCTCACAGGGATTGGGGTGCTGTAACTGCATCCACCTTCAGGTACTGCAGGAGTTTGGCTTTAACGCAGCCCTAGTTGGAGCAGCAGAGTCCCAGCTCGTGAACACCCTTTGTAAGGTGCTACAGCACCATTTCATGTAGTTGTGGGAGCTTGCAGGAACAGCAATTCACTCTGCCCTGCTGAAACAACCCAACCTGGCTGTGCTCCCCTGGGCCTTGGCACTCCTCACTCCTCCGTTCAGTCTCTGGGCTGTCCATGTCAGCTCAGCTGTCTGTTTTTGTCTCTCGCAGGCTGTCAGCGCTTCTGCCTGCAGTGACTTGCAACTCCTCGAGCAAAAAAAACCCCAAAAGACATTCTTGCCTATCCCCAAAACTTGAGTTAAATCACAGCAAATCAGGAGAGTGGGGGGTGTTTCTCTAGGCTTGAAGTTGGTCTGAAGAGAGAAACTGCACCCAAACCCTCCCTCTGCCAGGTTTTCTCACCTTCCTTTCATCCCAGGCCTGCGCTTCTGCCGGGCAGCGTCCTCGTACTGAGCCTCGACCTCACAGTGGTGCCTCCAAGCCAAGATCTCGGCTGTTGTCCATCCACACGACCACCGAAGTATCTGAGATCTGGGCCCGCAGCTGGTGGATTTCCTGCTGGCTTGAGCTGGGCAGGGAGATGCTGGTCCCACTCTGCTCCCAGTCCAGCCCCAGGCCGGTGTGTCCACCCACACTGGGCACTTTGGTCCCCCTTCGAGGTGACCATGCAGAGATGAATCGCTGATTCTCACCATTCACCCTCGTGACCATCTTTTCCCCTGTCCTTTGGGATAAGCAGCTTCAAAATCCAGCTGGGAAATGTGAGCAGTGGCTGGAGCCATGGGGAGGCTTCTTACCTCTTCACAGAACATTCTCAGGAATTCAGCCTCTTCTTTCAGGCTTTCTACCTTGGCTTCCCGCTCTGCTTTGTTTAAGGAAAAACAGTCTGCGTCCTGGAGACGTGTTGGGGATAGAAGAAGGAAGTTTGTTAGTGAGAGCAGACTCAGGGCTGCCCTTGGGGTGAGGGACTTTCAGTGCTGGTACCGTGACCCCGCGCCAGCTCCCAATTACACCGTTGCTGCTGATTTGAGTTCAAGCAAACCCAAGCACCAGCTCCTGCTTGTACTTGTTTTGTGTGCTGCTTTGGGGAAATAAATCACCACGAGCACCCCAAAGACCTCAACCTGGAGAGGAGAGTTCAAACAGCCCCTTGCTCACCTTCTTCAGGGCAATAAACTCACTCTGGGTGCACGTCCGCTGGCTGCATTCGTCCTTGTACCTGCGTGGGAAAATGGGAGATGTTTGAGTTCAGCGCAATTACATCTTTGTTTGGGTTTCTGCAGGCCTTCTTTCAAGAAGTGAAACTCCTGATTTTTTTTTTCCTTCTCCCCAAACAGTGTTTTGGGATGCTTTGGTCTTGTTTCATAGCCCATGGGAAAGCAAACGTTTTCAGAGAGGTTGCTGAGTCTTTACAAAATTGCAGCAGGACTGTTTTGATTTGACCTTGGCGACAGCAAATGGCTGCTGAACATTTCTAAATGTTAATTCTTTGAATTAGGAAGGAGAGAAAGAGAACCTGGAAGAGGAACATCCTCCGTTTCCTCCATCTCTTTGTAAACTGGGGCCTTGTTTTATATACTGAGATCCTGGTAGATCTCTCCATCTACCTACTCGTTCTCTGGGAACCATTTACTACCACAAAAGGTTCATGGTTTCTGCCTGTTTACACGTCTTGAACAACATTTTGAGCCCTGCACTCACATTTCTCTGTTTTTTACTTACATTTTCTTGTTTGTTTCCAAAACCTGCTGTGCAGCTTTCAGGTCTGTGTCTAACTGGGCTCTGTTGCACCCCAGTGCTTCCAGCTCCTTCTTCAGATTACCAATATGAGCCTCCAACATGGGTGTGATGGTTGACCTGCAGTGGTTTTGTCCCTGCAGAAAATTCCACTTGGTCTCTAGCACCTTGTTCTGCTGTTCCAGGAATCGAACCTGAATCCCGGAAAGCAAAATAAGAAACGAGATGAGGATTAAGAGCTCGTGAGAGCCAGTGTCCGTGTCACAGCAGTGAAATGTGCTCCTGCTCTTGGTACACGTGAATGCAGCATTTCCTAATCCAGTGTGCTTTTGTTCTCGGGCACCCATGTGGAAATGCACAAAAAAACAAAGCACTTCTAGAAAGGATAGAGTTCCAGTAAATTCAGGACGTGTGTAGAGAAATGGGAAGGAACTGGAAGGCTGATGAAACTGGTTTTAGCTTGTTCCCTCCCTGTAGTCAGGCCTAGAGGCAATAGTGCCCGTACACTGAAGCTTCCCCCGTGGCTCATAAACACCTCGAAGCTCCGCTGGCACCCTTATGTGAGTTGCCCTCAATGTTTTACATGGGTTCCCTGCCCTTTCCGTGCTAGACACCTCACTTGGACTCTGGTGCCTGCAAACTGGGCCTGGGGAGGGGTTCTCAGCTCACCTTCTCAATGGAAGAAGCAAATTTGTTGTTGAGGGTCTTGATCTGCTCCTTCTCTTGGTACTTCACCATCTGCATGTTGGGATCGAGTCCCAGTCTGAGCGGTTGGAGAAGTTGCTTGTTGATGGTGATGGGTGTGATGGTGCATGGCATGGAGACTCCACCAACTCCGTAGCCAAAGCCAGCACCTCTGTAGCCAAACCCTGTGTCAGCTGCACCAAAGCCATATCCACATCTCGGAGGAGAACATCTTCCAACAACTATTCTGGGCCTGAAATGCGTGATGGCATCAGGACTTCTGCTGCTGAAGGAACCCAAACCACAGTAGCCTGTGCCACCACCCCAATGACATGAGGCAGCGCTGAAACTACATCAACTCCTGGGAAGAGCTACAGAGGAAGAGCTGATTTTCCTGATGGCGTGGCCGGAGCTGATGCTGTAGGAGCAGCAGGACATGGCTGCTGGTGGGAGAGGGCTTGAGACAGGCGACGAGCTGGGAGCAGATTCCAGGGTGCAGTTCCCTCTGACCACAGCGGAGCAACTTCTTCCTTTTATTTGCCTGGAAAATGGGGCGAGGCTGCATGAAACTTCCTCAAAAAATGTTTATGATGCAAAGAATGTGAACTACTTAACATATATTGTGCTTACAGCAGAGAAAGCACCAGCATATTTGCCCCATAAAGGGTTGAAGAATGCTGTTAAGTCAGAGGGGTTATATTTAGATCTTGTGTAATAGCAACAAAAATTAGGGCAGTTGGGCTGGGGGAATTGTTTTCAGGACATGGTAAAAATTGCATGTTTCCCTTTTGATAGGTTGGATGAAGTGGCCCTGAGACTTTGAAAATGTAAACCACTTTTCTGTCAAAGGAGATCGTTTTATGTTTTGCTGATACCTCAGCTTGTGAGTAAGAGCTTTGGAGGAGGATGTGATTCAACCTCCTGTTTAATAACAACTATCAGTAATAAATGTGAGTTTACTGAGTATTAATGAACGAAGTCTTGCAGGCAGGTTAGTGGTAAAAGACCAGGTTTTATTGGATCTGCCTGTAAAAGGTAACGTGTTTTAATGACGGGGAAGCATCTGCAGGGCCAAACCTATTTTTCAAGGTGATTTTTCTGCAGGTTGCTGATACCTGTTTTCCAATGTGTCAATTTATTGAGGGGAGGGGAACTGCTGATTAGTTGAAATTGAAGCCGATACCTGGAACATGGTAGCTTTTGCAGACACTCTTATTGGCCAAACCCTCAGAAAACTGGTGTGTCCCCATCCCTCAGCTTGAAGTTTGGGTTCCCACCTGGTTTGGGGCAGGGCCAGGCTTGGTCCTTCGCCTCCTACGCTGGGCAGGTGCCCTCATTGCGGCGTCAGGGCTCCGACTCTTCCTGGCTTTGCTGTTCACACACGTGTGTGTGTCTGGATCCCTGGAAGGACAGGGATAGCGCTGGCGCCCGCGTCGCTGCGTGGGAGGGTGGCATGGTTTGTAGGGGCAGGGTGGATGTTTCAAACTAATGATTTTGTTTTGTTTACTGCATTTCTTTCCCCTTCCTTATTCCGTGGTTGGTTACAATTGCAAGCCAAAATTACCAGCTTTGCTGTAGGGATCTGGGAGCTCTTGGGCACTTTGGCTCCAGGGCTCACGAACATCCTTAGGGGAATGGGGCATGAGAAGATCTAGAGCTGGTCTTGGGGTTGTCCTCAATCCTGGTGTCACATCATGTAGTTTTACGTTCTGGCTCTGGCTGCATCTCTTTTCTCCACATTGTCCTCCTATGAAATGCTTTCTGCTTTTGATGAGATGACACCAAATGCAACTGTCCAGCTTTTGGACAGAGATCTGAGGACAGGGGTTGCAGGAGGCTGAGCCTGGAGGGAGCCTGACCCGAAAGGAGAGAGGGATACAGCTGCAGGGTCTTCGATGCAACAGGGAAAGGCAGTTGAATATGTTGTTGAACTGACTCCAAAATAACCAAAAATGTTTTGAGCTAGCTTAATTAAGCCAAATAGTTCAAACTGGGTTGAGCATGTTGGGAGTGAGACCTTTTGGTGCTACATTTTATTTTAATGGAAAAATCTTTATTAAAAAAAAAAAAGAAAAAAAAGTTTTTGTTTCAGAAAAAGTTTCTAATGCAAGAATTCCTCTTCTTTCAGCCTACTACAGGCTTCAGAGCAGGAAAATATCTCGTGGTTTTGTTCCTGTTCTTGTGATCGCTCATATCCCAGCTGCATTCACACAGTCTGGCTGTAGCCACTTTGAGCACGTCTGTCATCCCGCGGTGATTTTCTGCCCTGAGGGAGTTTCCCTCCCTCTTTCATCCTGATTTGAGGGGATTAGGTCCAGGGGTGTGATGGGCACGGGAGGGGTGTGGTGGGGGAGACATGCTGTGACCCGATCTCCTCGCCCCCCTCCCTGGGAACATGGACCAGCTCTGCACCCACATTTTCCAACAGCCAGTGGATCTCTTGGGGATTCTCTCGGCCTTGATTTGAGTTTGAGTTTGTTGATTGGTTGGGGTTTTTTTTTAATTGTCTCCTGAATGTGTGTTTTGTAACTCTGGAAAGAGGAGCTATATCGTGTGATCTCAGATTTGCTGTGTCAGTTTATTGGGGAGAAATAGAGGAAAAACAAGATAAAGGCAAGATCCAGGCAAGACTCCTCTCTTCCCTTTGGTTTTTAACTTTTCATTGTCCATACACTGGAGGAGCAGAAACTTCTATTGTAATACTTAGTATTTTTTAACCCAGTTATCTTCTCAGACAAGTGGTTCCTTAATACATAAGCTGTGCTAACTGTTCACTGCCTTGTTAAACCAGCATTGCTGCCCAGGCTTTGCTAGACCTACTCACCCCAGGAGGAACAGGTAAACTTTGAGAAGAGCCAGCTTGTAAACCTACAGCATAAGGTAATGAAAAGAGCAAGTTTCATAACAGTACTGAACATTGCAGAGAATAAGCAACGCAGGCTGGACTGAAAGCTTTAAAATCCCCCCCCCGTGTTCTCTGTGTGTGCGGCTAGCAGGCTGCTGCTGATAGGAACTGGGGAAGTGAGGACCCTCCTTTCAAATGCTTGGGGTTTTTTTAGTATTTTGACATGTAGGAGGTTGTAGAGGACATGAATTTGACATTGGAGCTCTTCCCATTCCCATCACTGTATCCTGTGGTGGTACAAGGAGCACGGATGTCTCCAGAGACAGTGATGCTTTTGCCACAGATGCCTTCTCCAGTCACTAGGCCTCTGCTTCTGAACAGGGGTCTGCTGCTGGAAGAGTAGCTGCCACCAAAGCGTGGGTCAGTACTGCATGTGATTCTTCCTGGAGATCGGCACACAGCTGCAAAGAAAACATTCCAGCTCAGGATTTCCATCCTACAGAGTAGATCTAGGGGGATTAGTAGGAATAGGGATTTATCTGGTACTTATAAATATTCACAGGGCAGCCATCATCTACCTTAGGGGAAAATGGGGATGTGTAAAAACCAAAGTCTGCATTTAGTGTGTGTCCCTGTAACTGGCCAGTAACTGGGAGGTCTGGGGGTGTGGGAAGCTGCCCACAGGCCAGTGCTTTGGACCTACCATGACTCGACTGCTCAGCTCATGCCTGGAGGAAGTTTTCCCAAGTCTGGTGTCGTGCCCAAGGAGGGAAAGGGTTTTGCTTTGGCTTCATGTGTGTAAGTGTGAGCAAGTCCTGGCCAAGGGCTTTCTCTCTGTCCCCTCAATGAGCTCGTGTGTGAGCAGGTACCCAGTCATTTTGGCTGGAGTGACACGGCTGTGGCTGAGCCTCTGGCTTGATCAAACCTGAGGCTACACAAGACATCATCTTTATTCATTCAAAGTCTTCCATTTGAGGGAAAACCTGAGTGTCTGGGCGCAGTAGAAGCTTTTGACATTGTAAGGCATTTGGGTCCATAAATACTGGGAAGCGCTTTGGAACACGTCGCTCCCTAGGACGTCGGTTCTCGTGGGATTTGCTGCGATTCCAGAGGCGGTGGCTCAGCCGGCGGATTGAAGGGCGGCCATGGGCTTAGATGTGTTACTGCTGCTTCCTTGCAAGCATCCTGCAGGGCTGTACCAGCACCCACCCGCTCTCCTCTCCATCCTGCAGCTTCCTGTAGGTCATGATCTCCATGTCCAGGGCCAGCTCGATGTTCATCAGCTCCTGGTACTCACAGGCCGTGTCCTCCTTTGCCAGCTGCCAGGACACCTCCAGCTCAGAGACTTTGCACTTTGCGTCCTCACCAACCCCTGCCCCGAGCTCCTCAGCAATAGCTCCTTCCAGTTTGTATCTCTGCAGGTAGGAGATTTTTCCCTGCCGCCACTTATTTACATGTGCTTTGAATAGTTCAGAGCTCTTGAATCTGCCTGTCTGTGTGTTCATCCTCCTGCACTTTGTTATATTTTCAGACTCTGTAGGTGAACCTTGAACTCTAGGACGATTCTCTGCCTAGCTGAGACTTTGGTGTAGGTGTTGTCTTCTCACTGCAGGGCTCTCCCGATGGCAGTTTATCAGTCATAACAGACTATTTTACTCTGTACTTTGGATTCCAGGCAAGTCTTACAGTTGAGCACCTGACATGTATTTCATCAAAACTGACTTTATTGCTCCCTTGTTCTAGCAGAGGTGTTTTGGAAAGCCACAACCTGGGAATTGTGATGAACACGTTATTGCCCCTGAGTCATCCTAACCTGGACTTTGGTGTTTTCACATTCTCCCGTGAGTCTCTGAATCACCGAATTCAGCTCCACAATTTGATTCTTTGTGTTATGCAAGCTGTCATCATGTTTGCTAGTGGTTTCTCTCAGTTCCTCATACTGAGGAGAGAGAAAACGCAATGAAAATAAATACCAGAGCGAGGAGATGAGTCAGTAATTAAACCTGCTGTGTGATTCTGGGGCCACAGTCCCGGATCTTCAGCTTTAAGGCAAAAAACCTTTGTCACTGGGGGACACGAATGACTCAATCACACAGATCTGTGTGTGAAGACGTTAACAGAGGATGTATCACGTGTAGGGAGAACATAGCAGGTGGCTAAGAAAGCAGAGCTTTAAAAAGTCTGTTCAACCCAAATTAGGACATATGAAGAAGCAGAGCCTGTAGCAGACAGAAGTGGGGCATAACTACTTCTGTGAGAGTCCATCATGACTCACCCGGCTGTAGTACCTGCATCAGCCCATTGGCAATGTCGTCATGTTGAGCTCTGACATCAGCAATGTTGTCATCCGTGTCCAGGCTTCAGCTGTTGTCCATTTGCACAATAACAGAGCATAAATAAGAGCACAATAAAAGTGTCTGAAACATGCTTGGAGCTGAGTGGTTTCCCAGAGGCAGCAGCAAGATTGTCAGTCTCTGCAGGAGGCGTTTTCCCTGGATCACCGCGGTTTGGAGACAAGGAGATGCAGTGGGTTTCACGTACCATGGCTTCAGGCTCGCTGCAGAAAACCCAAAGAGAGATTTTCTGTTTTAATCTCTCTGGCTTCTACCTTCACCCTCAAGTTGACACAGATATTGCCTGTGCGGTGCAAGAGTAACGCCTCTGAAATCCAGAGCCATCAACACATGTACACATGAAACACCAAAAATCTCTGTGATCTTTAGTGATGGGTTGTGGGAGCCTGCAGAGACATGGGGTGGAGAGAGAGGGAGTGAAAAAGGAAAAGCCGTTACCACTTTATACAGGCTCCTCAGGGAGGTGATCTCTTGGACAAGGGGCTCCACCTTGGCTTCCAGTTCAACTTTGTTCACATAAGCACAATCCGTGTCCTGAAGGGTTTATGAAATGAAAGAGCAAACCGCTTAATGCCAGCGAGCGATGAGATTGCAAACTCTTAGGGCTGCTCTTTTCAAGGACGTAAATTTTACCATACTATTAAATTGTTCTACTCTCCTGTCCTCTTAGAAGACAAAAAAATCACTATACACAGAGAAGGAAAGGTTTTGACCAGTTGGGGTACACAAACATCCCAAGCGAACAAGCTCAGCTGAAGCTGAATCATTTTAGAGTGGGATTCAACTCTTTTAATTAAATCTTCCCAAAAGTTGGCCTTTAGGTCCCTCCAGAGTCTCTGGAGAGTGAGAGGCAGTCTCACCCTCTTTCCAGGAATATTGGCTGCTGTTCATACCAAAAGCCCAGAATAAGTGTTTGAGTTGGTTTGAAATGTTCTTACCCTTTTGAACGTAACAAGCTCATTCTCTGCACGTTTGCCAGTGGGTTTCTTCTTCATACCCGCGAGGAGAAGAAAAAAGATCACTTTGCTCCTCATTATTCAGCTTAAGCAAGAATCTAGTCTTCCACTACCACCTCCAACTTCAGCATGGAAACCAACAGCTGATGCCAGTCATAGATGTGGACATCTGGAGCAGATCCTGCAGCCTTTGCCATCCACAAATTCAATGAGGGTCAGTTCTAGCCCTAGTCTTGGAGCTTTCATGGTTTTTAAACTTTGTAAACTTCCATGATACCCTGCGTGGTTCCCAGTTCTGTTTCCAGCTTGGCTCTGTTGCTTCCCAGAACCTGCAGCTGCCTCTTCAAGTTGCCAATATAAGTTTCAAACATTGGCTCAGTGTTGCTCCTGTAACACTTCTGTTCCTGTAGAAATCCCCGTTTGATCTCCAGCACCTGTTGCTCCAGGAACTGGACTTGAAACCCAGAAGTAAAGCATTCCAAGTACAGTGATTTGTTATACTGGTGGCACAGGAATGAACATTACAGTCCCAGAACTGACAAACTGAAAGATAAAATCAGAGTTAGTCAGGATAGACATGCACTTAAAATCTGTTGAACAGAGTCTCCTCATAAGAAGGTTCTTTAGAAAAATATAGTGGTTGTGACTATGCAAACAGCACCAAGTTAGACTCAGCACCAGAGTGGGGTAACTCAGAGGTAATTCTACTCAAGTTAGGGTTCAAGTGATGTAGAAATGGGGCTTTAGAGAATGAGTTTCTCTGCATGTAACAGCAAAGCTTGATTGCCATTTGCAATAAGACTTTACACCACTCTTGGAGCATGAAAATACCTTCTTGCCCCCACTGAAGGCTCCTTTTCACTCTGAGGTGGTGCAAAATGTCCACCTCAACCCTGGGCAGGCCCTTACCGCAAAGCCAGGCTGTGGGTTTTGGCTGCTGTGCCTAGTTAGCACTCCAGCAGATGCAGCCCTTGTCTCGGCCGCGCCGTACGGCAGCTTCTTACAGCTCGCCGGCTGCGCTCCCCGCTGAGCCGGGCATCGCCCCGCTTGCCTTGTCAAGGAAAAATGCAAACTTGTGATTGAGGATCTTGATCTGCTCCTTTTCCTGGTGCTTCATGGACTGAAGGTTTGGGTCCACCTCCAGCCTGAGCAGCCGGAGCAGATGCTCACTGACTGACCTTGGCGCTGTGTTGGGCTTGCAGCCCCCGTTGCCACCAAGGCTTCTGCTGCCTGGGGTACCCCACAAATCCACCTCCCCAGCTGAGGTGGTGCTGACACTACAGCTCTTCCCACTTCTCAGGGTCGCAGCAGAGCAAGAGCTGAAGCTCCTCATACCCCCATCTCTGGAGCAGACAGGTGGGATTGGCAGGATGTCAGGACCAGCTTGGAGGGGAGTGAAGGCAGAGGGAGGAGCTGAAGGCAGGACCAGGAGGTGGTGCAGCCTGGCCAGAAACCCTCAGTGGTGAGAAGCAGAGCTTCCACCTTTTTGTGTCCCAGGAAAATGGGCTTCAGGTGCACAACCAGCCCTAAAAGATGATTCTGAAAGGGGTTTGTGAATTCAGGTTGTTTGGTAATATCCCACATGTCTCTTTTGCTGAATAGTGACATGAACACACCTATCACTGAGTTATCGCCTGCATTTCTAATTTAAATGGGAGGGAATCCCTGGTCCCATAAAATCTGCATTTGCAAACCTCCTTTTTTTTTTTTTTTTTTTTTTTTTTTTTTTTTTTT